CCCCCTAATTAATTGTATGTTTAATACAAGAGGAAAGCACGGTAATTTGTAAGATCAACTATACCAAGTAACAACAAAGTTATAAAATTTCTGTAACGGCTTCCACTAAAAATGCGTAAGTACGGCAGTGCGGCAGACAACCATGGCGGGCGAAATGGTGGGATTTCATTTGGCAGCCATTTTCCACCATCCTCCATTGATAACATCGGTAAACAATATTAAAACACATCAACTTGAAGCTTGAAAGTGACTTCTAACAGTCTACCAGCCATTATTCAATATGACAGTGGAGTGTCGAATACAAAATCATTTCCTCTTGCATATAACCTTATAAAGAACCAAAGGTATGGAAAGCTATAGCCCACATATCTGCAATTTTGTCTGTCTAGCCATATATATTTTCAACCATAAAAACACGAGTTCCTTAACAATCACCAATAATCCAAGATTCACATGAGATCAAATAGAATCACAAGATAAACATTACCTTAGTACCCTGAGTTCGAGTAACTAGCGTTTTCCCAATATTCTTGGTGTTAAACAATGACGGCGCCTTGATATCATACCAGTCCTTCTTAGCAAAAGGGTCAGCCCTACATTCAATTAAAAACAAAAAACAACAATGGAAAAATCCAAAACGGTTCAAAATTAGCAGGAGAGTATGTGAGAGGGCACAAAACATACAAAATAGAAGATGAATAAAAGAGCAAAAGGATAAACAGAAGTAAAAAAGACGCACGCTTTCTTCTTCCCTCCCTTCTTTCCCTTCGAAATCCTCTTGTTCTTTCTGCACATATATAAAAGAAAAGCAGCAATGATGTAATGTATCAGACGATGATATAAGATTTCAGACTTTGCCTTGTATATGTGCACCGTGTAATTCTATGAAGAGAGAGAGGGTGTGTGAGTACCCGACGGCCATGGCGAAGGAGCAGCTGAGCTTTGGAGGCTAGAGAGGAACGGCTCTCAGTCGCACTCTATTGGTTTTGTTATGAGAAATGTGCTCAACCAAAACCCTAGCAATTTATTGTTTTATAGTTGTTTGTTTTCGGGCCAAAACTATGACATAAATAAATTGATATATAGTATTACCTCTCTCTTTTTTTTTAAATGACATTTTAGTTTATCAACAATTAACTAAATAAATGACCGTTTTAGATTTTTTTTACCTATTTTTCCATTATTACACACATCTAGTTAATTAATACACTACGACTTTTCTATTCACTTTTCATTTTTTCTCAAAACATTTATCTCTAATAAGGGTTATTATTGGGAAAAAAAGATAATTTTTGTGCAACTTCTCAAAATGACACTTATTTAAAAAAAGGAGGGTGTATAAATTAAGCGTGACTTCCAAATAAATATGATAGTGGAGTGCCACATACAAAATCATTTCCTCTTGCACAGTGGTGACTAAAATCGAGCCGAAACCGAAAAACCGAACCAAACCGAATAAAAATATGATAGTGGAGTGCCAAATACAAAATCATTTCCTCTTGCACAGTGGTGACCAAAATCGAGCCGAAACTAAAAAACCGAACCAAGCTGATGTATTCGGTGCGGTTCTGTTTGATTTTTCAAGGGTTCGGTTTTCGGTGCGGTTAAAATTTTTATAAACCACAAAAAATTTGGCGTGGTTTTAATTTTTGTCCGAAGGGTTCGGTTTTAACCGAGCCGCATCGAATATGTTTTTTTTTCTTAATTTATGTTAACAAATATGTTAACATGTTTATATTGTACATATACATGCTCATTTTGGGGCTTTGGTTTGGAATGACTAACATTTACGATAAATAAGTAAAGTAATAAATAATAACAATAACAATTAAAATTTTAAAATGTATTAGATGAATTTGAACAGTAAAGTGTATAGAACACAAAGAGAAAATGGAACGATTGTATTATCTGAGGAAGATGAAGTGAAAACCGTACAGGATATTAGAGTTTCTACCCTTTATATACTACTATGCTAAACATAAAGTGTTAAATAACAAGTAACACTTTTACAATGCAGAAATAACTAAAAGTGTAGTACAATTATGAAAGCTCAATGTACAACTATTCTATTACCCCCCCTCAAGTGGAGCATGGATATTAGGCATGCTCAACTTGGAGAGGAGAGACTTGAATAGAGGGCCTGGGAGAGATTTTGTCAAGAAGTCTGCTAGTTGGGATTTGGTGGGAATGTGCTTAAGTTGGATGAGCCTTTGATCTATCTTCTCTCTTATTAGGTGGCAATCCAGCTCGATGTGCTTTGTTCTTTCATGGAAAACAGGGTTAGAGGCCATAGCAATAGCTGAACTACTATCTGTAAACAGGCAAACAGGTGTAGTAAGTGACAACTGTAATTCATTGCAAAGAGAAGATAACCATTGTATTTCACAGGATGTGTATGCTAAGGCTCTATATTCAGCCTCTGCAGATGATCTACTTATAGTTGGTTGTTTCTTTGATTTCCAAGATATAAGTGAGTCACCAAGAAATATCAAATATCCAGTCACACTCTTTCTAGTATCAATGCAAGAAGCCCAGTCACTGTCACAATATGTTGTAAGCTGTAATTTAGAGGATTTAGGAAAGAGTATACCTTGTCCAATAGTGCCCTTGACATACCTTAACACTCTCTGTGCTGAGTGCAGATGTTGTGCAGTAGGTTGTGACATATATTGACTTAAAGATTGAACAGAGTATGCTATGTCTGGCCTGCTGATAGTAAGGTATAATAATCTACCTACAAGCCTTCTGAATTCAGATGGATTATCAAGAGCAGGTGAATTATCATTCTTACTTAATTCCAGAGATGAACCCATAGGAGTTAATGCAGGTTTACAAGCAAGAAGGCCTGTGTCAGTTAAGATGTCTAGAGCATATTTTCTTTGACACATATGAATGCCTTGTTCAGAATGAGCAAATTCAAGTCCTAGAATGTACTTGAGTTTGCCTAAATCTTTGATAGTAAAGCAATCATCTAAATGTTTCTTTATGGAAGTGATATGATTCATGTTGTTACCAGTCAAAATAATATCATCAACATAGACAAGTAAAATGGTAACAGAAACTGAATCATTCATATAGAAAAGGGAACAATCTGCAATTGATTGAATAAAACCATAAGACAGTAAACATGATGTTAACTTTTGAAACCATTGTCTTGAGGCTTGTTTCAAGCCATAAAGACTTTTTGTCAATTTGCAAACTTTAGTTTCAGATTCAGAACAGTAGCCAGGGGGAGACATGTAAACTTCTTCATTTAGATCACCATGCAAGAATGCATTATTAACATCTAGTTGATGGATGTGCCAATTTTTGAGAGATGCTAATGCAACAAGAAACCTAACAGTAGTGATCTTAGCTACTGGAGAAAAAGTGTCAAAAAAATCTATGCCTTCTTCTTGTGTGTAGCCTTTTGCAACTAACCTGGCTTTATATCTTTCAATAGAACCATCAGATTTGTATTTTATTTTGAAAACCCATTTGCAACCTATGCAATGTTTGCCTTTTGGTAAATCAGTAAGAACCCAAGTTTTAGTTTGTTCTAAAGCATGTAATTCCTTATTCATGGCTTCTTGCCATAAAGGATCTTTGACAGCCTGTTTGAAAGTTTTGGGTTCAGTTTGAGAAGAAATCATGACAGTGAAACATGTATCGGTTGTAGACAATCTGTTGGTAGAAAGAAAGTCTGAAATAGGGTAAGGTGATGTACCAGGAATGTCTGAAGCAGCATTGGAACAAGAAGAATCTGGCTGAGGGTGAATGGAATGTTTATAAACACTGAGATATGCAGGGATTTTAGTAGGTCTATTGGATCTTCTCCTGATTGGTGATGATGTAGGAGATTGGGTTTCAGATGGAACAATTTGAGTAGGAATTTGAGTAGGAATAGTGTTTGAATGTGATGGAGATTGGTTTTGTGAGGTGAAGGGATGTGATTGAGGGGAATTTATATCAGGTGGCTGAGTGATAGGTGGTTGAGTATATGACTGGTCAAATATAAATTGAGAATCAGGTGCTGGGAAAAGAGAATCAGGAGTCTCATAAGGTGAATGATTAGCAAAAGGGAATACTGATTCATAAAAAATGACATTCCTGGAAATTAATGTTTTCTTAGTATCCAGGTTGTAAAGGATATAGCATTTACAACCTGGAGGATACCCAAGAAATATACACTTAGAGGCTCTGGAATCAAATTTGGTTCTGTTGGCCAACAAGGTTGAACTATAACAAAGACAACCAATGACTTTCATGTGATCATAAGTAGCAGGTTTATTGAAAAGCATTTCAAAAGAAGATTTATCATTTAAAACAGGTGTTGGAATTCTGTTGATGATATGGGCAGCAGCAAGCACAGAATCAATCCAGAAATGTAAAGGCAAATGAGCATGAAAAATTAAAGCTCTAGCTACTTGCAACAAATGTTGATGTTTCCTTTCAACTCTTGCATTTTGTTGTGGTGTTTCAACACATGATGTTTGATGAATAATGCCATGATCAGTGTAAAATTGTTTAAGAAAGAATTCAGAACCATTATCAGTTCTGATAATTTGTATTTTCTTGTCAAACTGTGTTAACAACAGATTATAGAAATGATGCATATGAGTTTTGATGTCTGATTTTAAAACAGTTGGATAAATCCATGTCACTCTACTGTAGTCATCTACAATAGTTAGGAAATATTTATGACCAAAATGAGAAATAGTTGAGAATGGACCCCATAGATCACAATGAAATAATTGAAAAGGAGTAGTAGCAGAAGAGGAACTTTCAGTAAAGGGTAACCTTTTCTGTCTGGAAAAGTGACATACATCACAAGGAGTTATAACTCTGTTTTTGAAAGAAGAAATAGGTAATGTATGAAGTTTAGAGTATGATAAATGGCCTAATCTGTAGTGCCAGATGGAATTGTCATGTGTGTGATTATGAACAGGTGATGGATTTACATGTAAAGGGGAGTTATCATGTAAAGAGGAGTTTACACTGACAGATGAGCATACAGGTAAAGCAGATACATTTGTGTTCATCTGAGATTGTAAAGTATTGAAACTATCTAATCTGAGATGATATAAGCCATCTTTAAGATCAGCAAAAACCAATCACTGTCTGGTTTGACAGATCCTGTAAAATGCAAGATGAAGACAGGAATTTGACAATGCAATTGTTTGTGGCTGTTAACTTAGAAACTGAAATTAGATTAAATGAGAATGATGGAACAAACAATGCATCATGTAATATTAATGAATCAGCAAGTTGTACATGACCAACATGAGATGCAGTAGTGTGATTGCCATTTGGAAGATTAATTTTAATGGAGGTGGATATGGCAGGTGAAGAATAGAAATCAGCAGTGCAAAGCATGTGGTCAGTAGCTCCAGTATCAAGTATCCATGTATGTTTAGACAAATGTCTAGTAGCCATGCATAACAAGGGATTAGGCATACCTGAGGGCTCAACAAAGGCAGTTGCAACAACAGGTGAGCTGGACTTATTAGATGCCAGGTCCTGTGACTTTTTAAATGCTATGAATTCATGAAATAAACGATCAGTCATGAAAGAATCATCAGTGACAGTATCAGAGTTAGCAGTTTCTGTCTCAGAGGTAGCAATGTTGGCAGAGTATTTATTTGAAGGTTTGGGGCCTCTGGATATGTTCCAATGGGAGGGATAACCAACAATTTTGTAGCATTTTTCAACAGTATGACCGAGAAGACCACAGTGGGTACATTTTGGGCGAGGTTTATAGTTTGACTGGTTGGATTTGGGTGGTTTGTCGTAGGAAGGTTTCTGTGGATATTGGTAGTTTGTTTTGGCTAGCATAGCAAGGGGTTCAGAAGGTTTGATTGTATTGGATAGTGTGCGTTGGCTTTCTTCTTGCAGGAGCAATGAATAGATGTGTGCAAGTGGTGGCAAAGGATTAGACAATAG